AGAAAAGACAAGAGTATCAGGATTTTAGTTAGGTTGTGAGTGGACTTTGAAAACAAATCTCCTGATCATCCCTATCTACCATGGAGTGGTTCACAAAGTGGACTGGGAGTGCACAGACATTTCCTTTCAGGTGAAGCTGAAAGATGTGCTTCAGAAGCACATCTGGTGCCTTCCAACTGCTAATTTAATTTGTAGGTCAAGACTAGAGGGTAGACCAAAGTAAAAGACTAGAGGGTAGGCCAAAGTAAAGCCACAAAACATGTATATTGTGGACAGCCAGGACCTCAGCACCAATTGTTTCACTTCTTCTGCTCCTATTAGACTGTGCAACTTGCTAATGTCAGCATAACAAGATAACAAGTTACCTGTTTTGTTTTGTATTGTAGCTGGGAAAATACATTTCTCAGCACTAGTGGAGTAATCACTTGGAGGAAGAGCTAGAAGTAGAAAGTTTTGCACTGATTGTTTATTTCCTTACGATTACATAATGATGCATGTAGATAAAGTAATCACGTTAAAAAAAATCACTTAAGTAGAGGTGTATACATTTGTGAAGAGAAATACCAAAATTATCCTCACCGAAGCTGAAGGTCACATCTCTCCAAATCTCTCATTTTAAATGTATGCAGAAGTTTGCCCTGCATCTTATGTGGACTACATTAGCGTATGTCCTGTTTTACTCCCAATTTTTATGCTGCCCTGTGCCTGTACATCCTCAGGAAGCAAAGGGCATCTTTTGAGCTTGGTATCTACAATTTTTAGCAAGTGTTTTGTTTTCATAATGTGCAAGTTTGTCAACTGAGGTACTCCAAAGCCAGAGATGTTTGAAAATGAATTGTAATGCATTATTTCATGGGAATCTTGTCTTTTAATGGATGTTTGTGCATCAGAAAGATTTGTCTCAAAAAGAACAAACATTTCAGGTCTTACTTTTCTGGGTTCAGGTAAGTTGTAAAACCCGTGACTCTTAAATTAGGAAGGGGAGATGCCCTTCTAGCAGATTTTTTTTAGCTTTTATAACCCGGTAAACAGATGAAGAGTATCAAAATTTATTAAACGTGTTTCTAAAAAGCAGAATCTTACATTTACTGTTTCATAGAATTGATTCAGCTTCTGTCTTCAGATTTCTGTCCTTGTGAACAGGATATATTTTACAGCAGCATGTTAAATTCCTTCATTTCCAGGAGTTCTTCAGAAAACTATCGCATGCCAGTGATGGAATACAAAGTGAATGAAGGAATGTCATATGAATTCAAATTTCCCTTCAGAAATAATAACAAATGGCAGCGAAATGCGAGCAAAGGACAGGGACCTCATGTGGCTCAGGTACCATCCCAAATACAAAGTCCAGTGACATCTAGGATTGGCTCTGGGAAAGGAGAAGGGAAAATGCCACCCCCAGAACGAGCAGCCAACATCCCACGAAGCATCTCTAGTGATGGACGCCCACTGGAGAGCCGGAGGTATGTGTCATCTTCATAAATGGCTTTTCATTGCTGCTCAGAATCTTGTCTGGAAAAAAGTGCAATAGATTTATCTAAATATCTGAAGACTGCTTTTAATCTTGGTTTTAATTAGTCAAAAGGCAACATGAATATGAGCGAAACATTAGTCAAAAGGAAATACCTTGCCTGGCATGAAGAACCACAAAATGAAGTGTTACAGGATTGGTAGGGTATGTTTCCCTATGTTGGACGGTACTCTAAAACTGCAGTATTGTTATTTAAGTTTTAAATGAGTTACAATCAAAGTTTTAGATCTTAAGTGTCCTGAACTTCTGCATTTTGAAGAAGTAAATCAAAATTTTAGCTTGTTTATAGGCTTGGTGGAATTGCCTAAAGCTCGCAAGGAAGAAATAGCATCTAACAGGGTGTTTAGCAAGAGAATTCTGACCAGCACAGAAAGCAAGTTTATCTGATTTGGGAGTTTTTGAACTTTCTAGGCTAGAGAAGAGATTGTTTTAAGTTTGCATTTCTTGAAGGTGGTTTCAGTTTTTTATTGTTTTGTGGTATGTTTTTTTTTAAAAAAACAAAAAAGCGATTATTATTAAGATAAAGGTATCAGGTACATCCTGTCACAGTATTTTCATTCTTTCATGGGAAACGATGTATTTGATAGTATTCAAATGAACTGTCATTGTTTTGATTATATATACAAATCTGTCACTGTCTCTGCATTTACAAAGAGATCTATTAAGGGAAACAAGCTTGTAGCTTGTATTTCTTTTTTTGGACAATTACTGAAAACAAAAAAGCTGTAGATAGATTCTAATCGTGCTTTACATTGCTGAAAAATATAAAGCAGTGGAAATAAGGTGCATATTGTAGAAAATTTAAAAAGAGTTCTAATGAATTAACTTAAAGCATTTTTCACATCCTGAAGAACTGGGGATTAAAAAAAAAAGTTAAGAGATGGTACAGCCAAGACCAAGAAACTACCACGGTGAAATTGAAACTTCTGTGTAGGACACCTTGTTAAGAAATGATAATAGTTGGTAAGGGCTTAATTTTCTTTCTTTTTCCTTAGACACAATCGTACTTCTGCACCCAAGCTAATTGGTGAGTGTAGTTGTAGCTTTATGTAAATTCATTAGATGTATACTTAAAGCTCCCATCAGTGTGAGATGCAAAAGAAAATTTGCAACACTGAAAACACTAATAATTTCACAGACAACCTAAGATTGTCTGTGGGAAAGATTGTCTGTGGGAAAGATTGCAGAAGCCAGTGAGACACCAGACTTAGCTCTCTAATGCAGTATTTGGACGAACATAAAAATCGCATGGCTTCAGGCCATATCTGCCTATTACAGCTGAAGGCAGGCAGATCCTGAATTTGAAGGAATAGGGGTTGGGGGGTTGGGGTTTTTTTGCTCTCTCCAGTGCTGTGGAATCTCACTCTGTAATTACGGAAGGCAGAGTCATACCCGGGCAAAGTTTAAGGCAGTGGCAGAAGATCAGATTAAGTTGCTGGGGTTTTTTCAGACACTTCCATCTCTTCGTGGTGTTAACCAAAGAGTTTTGTCTCGAGTTGACTGTTCCACAACTTGTGCTGAGGAGAGTGATCCTTTGGCTGCACTGAGAGACGGGGTATTATTAACTGTGTTTTTCTTGTGCATAAAATCCTATGTGGGCAACGTCGCACACCTAAAGCATCCAAGATTTATCCAGTCACTGAATGCTTCTAGAGGGGGGGCTATGGCCTGACAAATGTTTGCAAAGTGAAAATTACATTTCCACGTACTCTGTATTTGTTTTCAAAAAGTGAAACTTTGACTTTCCATTTCCTTCATTTTCACGGCACATAGCTGGGGTTTTTCTCCTCTAGACATTCTTTTAAGTATTTTTATTATTATTATTCAAAAGGGTTCTATTGGATCTTTTCATCCTTAAAAGTATATTATCAAAGTAGCTTTTAAGTTTGGCCGAGAATCTTTTTGGATGCCTGAAAAATGTCTCCTCTCTTATCTTTCTGGTCTGCTAAACATTATTCTTGGCTGGATCAAATTTAAATATAACAGCAGCTGCATAAGTTTAACATGTTTCCAGTTAAAGTGAAGAAAAATACATTTTTATCATTTTAAAGGAACACTGGAGGGGGAAAAAAAGCAATAAGCTCACTCCAAGACTCATTTGTCTTTTCTCTGCATGATAAAAGAAAGCTTTGCTTTTGGAGAAGCTCAGATACTTCTATTCTTATTTGTAAAATCTCCAAAATCAACAAAGATGAGATTTTTCATAGCCCTCTTAACGACTGCCTCATTTAATTTTTCATCACTAACTTTCGTACTGCCCATAGTGTAAAAATGACCTATGAGGAGGTGCTGGAATCTGTGCGGGTTTCTGGTGCAGGCAGCAGCGATGGTGCTCCGCTGGGCTTTGCTCCCTACGGTTTGTTCTTTGCTCAGCTCTTGGTTGGTTGGAGAAATGGAAGACCAAGGGTAACCTGGTAACATGGGTACCCGGGTCTGTAGTGGTGGTCCCTGTGATCCAAAAAGGGCCTTCTAATTACCATGACCCCACTCGATATGAAATGGCTACTTCACTGTCTGTGTCTGCAGTATTTATGTTCTATGGAGCAATTTTCAGGGGTTTTAGAAAAAAGCACTTGTCATTATGGCTCATTAGCAAAGCAATACAGATATCTTAGATTTCCTTACTATCATTAGAGCTCCACTTTCGAAAAGAAGGTACTGCCTAAGTGTCAGCGGGGCTGGAAACTACGAAGATCAGCGTCAATCAGTCATTTCAGTACTAAAGTATAGTTGGGTCTAGATATCACTAGCTATCACTTCTGTTTTTGCAGTGCTGAACTGCAATTCAGATTTGCTGATGTTTGACTGATCTTAATACTTAGTTGTTTCGAGACTGGAGCGGGCATTTATCCTTCTGTGCTCTCACCTTTTGACTGCATGTTCTTTGTTTCTGGAGCTGGGTGCGGTGACAGTAATGGCAGATCTCATCTGCCACTAAGAAACAGCAATGTATAGTTTGTGGCCTGTGTTTTAAGGAACGTGGCAGCTGAGAAACCCGTAGTAAATTGATCCATGTGGCTCTTTGAGGTCTCAATCTGAGATGATTTTTGGAACTGGCACTGGTAGCAGTCGCTCAGGACCACAGAAGGTCAGTATCATCGTTAGCTGTAGCTCCAGTGGGTGGGATTTCAAAGAATGAAATAGAGGCACTATAATATTTCTGATGTATCAGGCCTAACATGGTACTCATTTTAACGGTAACCTATCAGCAATAAATCCATGATTTAATATAAGTATTTAGAAAAAAACCTGAAGATTTAAGGGATTTAATTTAAACAAAACTAGCTTAATAGACAAGTGTTTCCCTCTTTGAGTATAAAGTGCTCTACAGGGAGTACAGGTGTAATTCTTTGAATTACCTACTAGTGATATTTGACTGATGATCACTTTATATAGCTAGAGTCTCTAAATATGCATACTGAGTGAAATAAATTTATTTTTTACCCTTGTTGATATTTTCATTTTAGTCCATTTGACTGTGTTTTAAATAAATAAAAGCTACATTACCAGTCCTGAAAAGAGGAGGATTTCACATCATATACATAAGAACATCTTGCCTCCCTATGGGGACTGGTATTGTAGGTGGGAGAGGAGCTTGCTTGACAGTCCCTGATTCTGAGAAGGCAGACAAATACCCAGTCCTGTGCCTAACCAGCAGAGTACTTAAATTTGCCTTTATTGGTTTGTCTTCATGTATCCAACTCACTAGTTTATACTTAAATTCTCCCTGTTCCTCATGGTATTCTGGGTCCTTGAACGTATTCATGATTGTGCATATTTGTATGCCGGAAAAATAACTCAAAACTTCGTAAATCCTAAAATAAATCTCTAATGTTACTGCAACATTAAGACTGAAAAATCTCATAATATAAATGCAATAAATTCCAAGTTATGGGTTCTTTCACAACATTAATTAATCCACGCGGGACGCTATATAGCCTATAACCCAGAATAAATATCAGAGTGATACATAAACCACGTATATGTGAAGTATGCCAGAGCTAATGTTGTTGGAGAAGATGTAATTTTAGAGGTCGATATTATTTTCAGGTTTTATTTTGTATGCTTGGTTTCCAGACTTTAGGACAAAAAAACATGTGCAGGGAAAGGAGATGAGACAGTGTTAGATGATAATCTCTTCTTAATTAATTTATCGTAAACTGGAACCAGTCTTAACTAAAACTTGACTGAACAAACATTGTAGAAGTGTGAAAACCAGTGAGCAAAGTGTGCTGCTGGACTTGTGCCCTTCAATAAGCAGCTCAGTACTGTTCTGGAGGGAAGGTCAAGGCTCTTAACTAGAAGATTTCTCAGCGTAGTAAATATTTTAAACCAAATGGAAAACTGATTTACAGCATGATGCAGTCAAGCACTGTCTGTAAAATTCCACAGTGTGGAATTATTAGAACAATATTCATTCCAACTGGTTTTAAGTCTTACTGAGGACTTCGGAGCACAGTCTTGCCCTAAAACTTCATACTCCTTTGACCAAGGCCCATGTGGAGTCAGTGACAGTAACTGTGCCAGTAGTAGTTTATAGGATAATTCCTGCTTGTAGATTCTAGTTCAGACTGTTCCCATATTATATAAAAATCCTAACCTGCAGCTTGGATCAGTGACGTTTTTCCTAATATAAACAAGCAGGTGTCTGTGCTCATCTTGCCACCTGCCAAGTGAGCGCTGTAGCACAGGCATTGCCGGCTTCACAGGGTTCGAGGATTTCTTATTTTAAAGTTTTTATAACATTCGTCAAATTAAAACATGTACTAACATGAGATTATATATTCCGCATTTCCTGCTGGCACCAGGACCTCGGGCTGGATGTAGCGGTGGTTTGTTGGTACACCTGGCTGCGTGGCCAAACTCGTGTGTTCCAAAACCATCTGAGAAGAGCCACGCTGTGTCGTGTCAAGAGTTGATCTCTCTTGTTTGGCAGTGGCCATCAGCAGGGACCAGGGAAAAGTATAAGTGCTTACAAGTATAAAGAAAGACTCCTTACCAGATCGCCTGGCGCCAGGTGCACCTGTACTGCTGTGTTTAACAGCTGTGGATGGTAACTCTTCATCCAGGTGCCTACTAACTGGTCTCTTGATAGTCCCAGGTCTCCTAATTGTTTTTTTGTCATGAGGGATAATGAATAATCATTTTTCGCTTGATCCAATATAATCCACATTTGGATGGATTGAAGCAGACACAATAAAATTCTCTATAATCTGTGGAGCCGTATAGTCTATTCAGCGTTTCTTCAGCCATTTTGTACCTCTGGTTGTCCCATTGCCCGCCTCTATATCTTTTCTTTCTATAATACGTGTTTTCTGAAATGCAATGATCAAATTGAAGAAAAATGCTCAAGAAGGTACACAGTATGGTGTGAGAAGGTACAGTGTGGACAGCATAACTGCATTTTCTGTTTAATTTGTTATCCCCTTCCCCAAAATTGTTGATGATCTTTTTTCCTTTTTGAATGGTTTGGTTTCCTTTTCAACATGAGAGCATTGAGTCAGTGTTTTCAGAGAACTGTCACGTCTTGCAGTATTATTAGGACTGCAGAAATCAAACACGTGGAAGGTAAGCATGCCAGAATTAAGATTTGCTGTGCAATTTTATTCAGAACTCTTGTGTTCCATATTTTCTGATACCTTTTTGATTAAATTACGAGAATTTTTTTAACAGAGTACATCTGCCTCATTCAGTTCACACAGTGGATGCAGCTCATTAAAAAAGAGCTACTTTATTTTATTTTCCTCTTCATTACTCTGTCCCTTATTTACTGGATGGCATTCAAATCCTGTTGTAAAGATGCAATTATTAATTCCCCTCTAAGCTTTACAGTGGCGCCCATTACTATAGTTTGTGAATGCTTCCTGGGTATTAATTAAACTTAATTTTCCAAACTCTTGTGTGAGAAGAGATGTCTTTGGCCCTCTTCAGATTAAGAACAAAGGTAGAGAGAGAAATTATGTTCTAATCGTTTGCTGTGTCTTATTTTGGGCATCTCATATTTGGAAGTGTGCCCAGCATTGTTAATATTTTATATATTCAAATTACAGCTTCAGTTGACTTCAGCTGCGTTGGGAAGTTTTCAGCTCAGAAGTGAATCAGGCCTTGGAATCAAATAAAGCTTTTGAGAAACTTGCAATTAGTGACAATGAATGAAAAATTTTCTTTAGCAAATATGCCAGTGGTCATTTTGGAGTGCTGCAGCAAGTGCAAGATAAGGATTCAGTTGGCTAAGTCGGCACCGAGATGCCTCGGCTGCAAGGCCGTCCTTCCTCTTCTGCCAGCATGCGCCTCCTTCGCTTCCGAGCTGTGCAGCTCTTGCAGCAGAAGTTGTAGCACAAAATACAACTGCATGGGGCAGAGGTCGTAAGGGAGAAGGCACCTGTGTATGAGCATTTAACTACAAACTGCCTTAGGCCATAGGCACCGAGTGTGCGAGGCTGACGTTTTTCTTATGGTGTGTATATTACATGCCTATGCATACTGAAGACGTGGGGCAAATTACAGCTAATGACATGGAAATTAATTTACTAAGAACAAGATGGATGCTTTTGGTGTCTGTGTTGTCACACTAAACAAAAAAAAGTACACCCATCCCACTCACTCCCTGCACAAAAGATGATTTTCTTCCCATGCTTGGCAAGACTCAACCAGTCCTTTCAGGATGAACTAGATCTGTTAGAACTAAATCACGCATGGTATAATCCCTGTTCAATTGTCTGCAATGTAATTGTATCTGTTTAATGCAATGGACGCTTGGCCTATTTTTAAATTCAGTTGTGGGACTCATGCACTTAACCGTTTGGAATTTCTTAAAGCTGCCTTTTGAAATAGATAATAGCTTGTTTTAGTTTGGTTTTTAATTATAAATAAAAGACAAGCACAGAATATCTTAACTATAGGGGCACACTGCTAACACAATACTCCTTTTGTCTTGGGAAGTGCCTTTCATCAATAGATTTCAAAGCAGCTCAAAAAGTCAATTTGAACTAATTTACTCTAAAGTTCTTTTGTCTTATTTATATGTTTCACAGAAAATGAAATGTCTCTCACTACTAAAGTTTTTTAGTGCTATTGTGAACTGTATCAACAAAATGTATTGCTGCTTTAAATAATAGGATGGTCCTACCTGACTGGTTGTTCACTGCTGTTGTTCAGATCACATTTATAATACAATTTTGTTTGCCCTCGAGGTCTTTCATCTTTGTAAATGAGTTATAACTCTGTGACATAGTTCTGAAATCTTGACACTCCTTCTGAACAGTGCTGTCACTTTTTGGTAAGGCACAGTAAGTAAAGAAAAGGCATAGCTGAATCTGAAGTGATAATGTAAGCATTTTTCAATTTTGCAGAAATTATTCAAGAAGTAATTGGTTTCCTTGCCATAAATTCTAATTTAGTATTGGGAAGAAAGGTCATACTTTTAAACTGTGTATTCCTCTGCAAGCATAACTGAGTTTAAATGTGTGTGCCTACATAGGTGAGTGAATGCTATTGAAAGCACATCTTTTTGTTGGCTGAACTATTTTTATGAGAGTGCCACTGGGAAAATGAACTGCTTGGCTCATGGCTCCCCAGATTTCCACCTCTTGAACAATGTTCTTTGCAATCAAATGTTTCAGAATTGTTGCTTGACAAATGTGGGATAAGTTAAATTCAGTTCAGTAGACTAGAAAGGAATTACTGGATTTTGTATGGTACATGTGATGGTCAGGTGTTCGGTCATTCCTTTATTGTTTGGGAAAAAGAGTTACTCTTAGTCATATGCACTTTATGAAATTCCAGATGATCAAGATGTTTGGTCCAGTCCTACTGCTCTTTCCGTTTTAAGATTTTGTTTACTGCTTTTTTGCAAAGTACCGAGGGTGATAAATGCACATTTTATATATATATATACACATACACACACACAGTCTCTTTGGGTATATACACATACATAAGTAACAATAATCAGTGCAGCGTTTTTTTCATTTTTGAAAAGACTACTTGAACTTTAAAAGTTTTTACAGTATTTAATTTGTGTAAGTTGTAGTATTCTTCCTTCTTAAAAGGAGTAAAGGTTTGTGTTCACAGTAGGATTTTGAAGTTCGTGGATGGCGTAATTCACACTCCACTTAAACCACTGCAGAAGTTCTGAATGGCTTCAGTTACCATCAAGTAGAACAAAGAACTAGGTAGCAGCAGTGAATTCAGTTGGGGTTTGGGAAACAAAATGCACGAAGCAGAAAATGAGCTAAAAAAGCCTTAAACTACAGAACAGGATATACGAGTTGAGCAGTATAAGCCTGCTACTTCCAGCCATTCTGCCCAGGTGCGTGTGTTGCAATTCTAGCCCGTTTATTTGCTGTATGGTTATTCCGACAGGAGAAGGCTTCATATGAATCAGGTCTGTATTTTCAAACAGAGTTCTGATATATTGAGATAGCTTATGTTAGAGTGTTAAGTTTTTAGGGGGGATTTTAAGGTATTTATAAATAGCATTACATTGTTATTGAATGTCGACGAGTTTGGTGGCATAGAGATAAGCTTGATACTCTTGGAAGAGTTTGCATAGACAACTCACTACAGTTAGTTTAAATACCAGGCAAGAGTCTGTTTTGAGAACTAGAAATAAGTTGTTCTGTTTGTTATTTGGGTCAGGAATGTAATGCTTCATTATTTTTTACAAACAATCTGAAAAAACAAATCCGGACTTGAGAAAATTGGATGTTTTCCTAGTGTATGCCGGGATTTTCCTCCCACACTTGCCTCTCTTCATTTACTCCCCTGCATCCAGTTTTTTACAGCTGATTTTTCCATGGTTTCCAATAGATTAATAAGGGAAAAATGTCTGATCCTTCAACTGACTTTATTTCTACCGACTCCACGATGCCTTGTTCTTTGCTGTTGTGACAACTTGCGTGGTGTCCTTCATGCTTTGCACTATGATATCGCTGTTCAGGATTGCTGATGCGGCTGGTTCCTTTGCTCTGAACAGGTTGTCTCCCGGTTCTGATGTCTACGTCACAGTTTCATCCATTGCCTTAGCAAGATCGCAACAGTGCCGTAATTCTCCAAGCAACTTATCATCCTCAAGTGAGACTGGCTCTGGTGGGGGCACATACAGACAAAAATCTATGCCAGAAGGGTAGGCACCAGGCTTTTTTCATATTCTTTTTACCCAGGTTTTCTGTTCTGTGTTCCATTTGTGGTTTTCTGTTCGTAATACAGAATTACGTAATGTGTATAAAACTAAAGGAGTGCTTACACAGCCTCCTGTCAGCTGTTGTTTACGTGCATTAAAACATGCTTGTGTTCAAATATCACTGTCATGCTTTTTGAAAAAGTCAGTTTTAAAAATCCCTTGTTTCCACTTTTTCTCTTTGCGACCTAACCCCTCTCTCTGATCCTAGTCTACAACTGCTCAGGTTACTACACAAAGGGATCTTTATGTATTTAAAAAATCTTCATTAAAGGTACTGGTTTCACGTTGCAAATTACTTCATTTCACAAGTTTAGATTCTAAAATAAAATAAGTAATGGGTTTGGGTCTGTGCTAATAGTTGAAGCAAAGTAGTGTTGAGTGCAACTGAGACTTCAGATGCGTAGGCACAGAAGTGCTAAGCAGTCCACAGCTAGCATCTTTTCCACATATTCACAGTGATCCTGTTTTAAGGCACTCTCTTTGAACTTTGCAGAAATCTTCAAACTCTCTGAAGTGATCCAATGTCAATGTAAGGGACAACTTGCAGAGGAAGAAATTAAATCTGTATCAATTTCAGAGAGCACTGAAAGGAGCAGTAAATCAAGCATCTCCAAGTAGGGAAAAAAATAATTGGCAGCAGGAGAGCTGTCTACCACATTCCAAATTACTTCCTATAGAGAAGATAAAGGGGCAAAACTGCTGATAGTTCACACTGCAAAGCTTCCCTCTGAAGTCTTCTTGAGTACATTGCAGGTCATTGTGTGTAATTCATTCTAGGTTGGGTCTTTTATCAAGTAGAAGTATCTTCTCTATTTTAAGAAAAATATTATTAGTAAGATTAAATACCATTGTCAGGAACTGCTTAGCACGAGGCACTGTCTTTTGCCAGTTTAGGTGCCTGTAAAGGGACACTGCTCTGTGTCAGTCCAGAGAATACTGTTCTAAGCATGTGTTTGAGCTACTGCTGCTTCTTGTTCCAGAGCACTGAAGCTTTGTCCTCCCTGTCCTTCTCCTTGCAGCTTAGTTTGAGGTTTTCTGAAGAGACCGTCTCTTCTCTGCTGCGCACCTTCATTAAGGCTTTGATTCATGACAATATCAGGCCTGTTCAGGTCCTGATTTAAGTTTGTGCTTAAGTCCTACTGACATTAGGAGATTTGGTCTATAGCCATTAAACTTTGCTGTAAGGAAACGAAATAGAAGTGTGTCCAGAGCTCTGCAACTGGAAAAAGCACTTAACCTCTTTATACACTGCATCCTTCCTGTCTCATTCATGCCAGCAGCACTTACGTGTTGCCTTATTCTGAAGAGCAGCTTGTGCTCCCAATATCTTGTCTGCTCTTTTCCAACTATGTCATTTGCTCTACAAAAAAAGGTATTGCTGCCATATGTCCTTAGACCTTCACAACCGTAACTGCTTGAATAGGAAGGGATTTTCAGACACACTGGGATTTTTGTTTTGAATTGACCTCAAAGCACGCCAGCACCCATCCCAACCCTTTTCCATCTTTTAAGTTAATTATACACATATATTCACT